GAAATAAGGATGTGGTCACAGCAATAACACTGGGATAATAGAACTGTACGAATCAGTATTTTATTTAATGAAAATATCTTTTTAAAAATTATGAATAGTGATTGTACATATATTATTTCACTTGGTATACTACAAAGGAATCATTGACTACATTTCTGAAAAAAGTCAATAAAGAAGAAGCTAAATATTAGCAGTCAAACAAAGTCAAGAGCTGACTGCGGAATAGATCATAAATTAATCATGTGCGAGTTCAAGTTGATGTTGGAAAAAAATCCACGAAGTGGCCCAGATATCAAATAATCTCATGAATAGATCTGATGCATTTATCACTAATGACCAAAGAACAGGTGAGCTGTGGGATGACACTGAAGATATATCATCTATGAATAGAGAAAAAGGCCAATACAAAGACAGGTGACAAAGTAAAAACTCCAAAGGATTTCAAAAGAGACTGTGAAATCCCCACAGAATATAAACAGCCTGAAAACAAGGGGATGAAATGCCGAAGTTAAAGAGATAGATAGAAAATTTGAAAGGGCTGTTCAAGAACACAAAGCACAGTATTATAATGGAATGTGCAAAGAGCTGGAAATAGAAAACTGGAAGGGAAGAAAACACTTGGCCTTTCTCAAGCTGAAAAAATGGAAGGCTAAATTCAAGCCTCAAGTTATGATACTGAAAGATTATGTGGATAAAATCTTGAATGATGCAGGAAGCATAAAAAATAGATGGAAGGGACAAAGAGAGTTACTGTATAAAAAAGAATGGACTTGTGTTGAACCACTTCAGGAAGTAGTAAATGATCAGGAACCAATGCAATGAAGGAAGAAGTTGAAGCTGCACTAGAAAAATAAGGCCCCAGTAATTGATGGAATTAACATGTTGCACCAAACACATGTCGTCCTGGTTGTGCTAACCAGCCTGGGACAAGAAATATGAAAAATCTGGCCAACTAGAAGAGATCACTTAGAGCATGTTGTAAGAGAGGGCCAGTCCTTGGAAAAAGACGTCATGCTGGGAAATGTAGAGTGCCAAAGAAAGAGTAGAAGATCCCAAGTAAGGTAAATTTAAGATGACAGAAACTGGCACGTGATCTCAAATATGTCAGAAACAGGCTGGGTTAGGGCTGAGTTAAAAAAAAGGTTGGTGATAGGGTTGCTATGAGTAATGCTCAATTTGTTGGCACACAGTACTAATAATTATTAAGCTTTCACTGTCCCGTGCAAAATTAGATTGATTTAATACCAGAATGACTAAGTGGTTCTCTTCCAACTACATGTCCTTGGACAGCTGCATAATGTCATTGTGTCTAAATAACTTTATTTGTAAGACATGAATAATAAGTTCTGCATATTTTGTACAGTTGGTTTGAAATTCTAATGAGTTTATATACAAAATTATGTTTATAATCATCTCTAAAAATACAGAGTTTTGATAAATCAATGGATATAAATATTATGATGATGATGATATTGGGTGACAGTACAGAGTGTCTCAGTTACCATTTGACAGATACTAGATTTTCATGTCTGGTTACCAGTTAGGGTACATCTATGACTGTATTGAGTTATAGCTAATATTTGTTCTTCATGGTTGGCACATATAATACTTCTTACCCTTGTAGAAATAAATATAAAGTCCACATAAAAGCAGAGTTGCAGGAGGTATTTCAGGATCTGAATTTCTACTTTTTCTATATTTTCTTCGAGATTATTTCTCACTTACCCTAACACCTAATTTCCCTATCACTGCTGCTACTAAAGTCTATTGATTCTGATTCCCCTCCGGTGTCTATTGAGACATAGCTCAAACAGATCAAGAGAAATGCAAAAACAATTCCCAAAAGTGAAACCAACAAAACATTCTCAGCAGCAAAAGAAGGCTGATGGGAGAAAGAAGAGAAAATAAACAGAATTTTGAGGCAGGGAGACAATGGCTTTCCCCCTAATACCCTGCCTTCATGAATTTTGTTTGCTGTGTGGTTAGATGAATGTAAATGTAAGTATGAAAAGAGTATTTAGTAAACATATATTAAACTTGTAGACAAATAAACTTCAAACTTGCATTATGCAAACTGGCTGTATTTCTAAGCTTCTGGGACTGGGAATTGCAAGGGAAGGAGATGGTTTTTGCTGCTGTATGAAACAAAACAAAAAGAAATTATGGCTGAAGAATTATTAGCTAAGGGATTGAAAGATATTTTGTGTCACTATTAAACTTGTTTTTGGTTTCTCCCATGCTGTGATTTATGATTATTTTATTATAATTTACCATTCAGTTTCCTATATATTTTGGATAAGTTTCACAAATAAGGAAATATATCTGCTATTTTATTCTTCATCACTGTCCCTGAATACAATGACAAATATAATTCACAAGGTCACCTAACACTCCCTTATCACTCTCTGTACCTTAAGGTAGCCCATAAGTTTAATGTCTTTTATTCCATCTTAGCGAAAGTATAAATGATATTTTGCTAGGTCATAGAAATTATGTCCCTGTTATATTCTCTCATCAGATCACTGACACTATAAACTGTAATGGCTTATTCAGAACTATTAATATATCTAGTAGCAGCCTATACCTGGGAGTCCTTAATCCCATAAATGATTTTTAATAACTTAAATTTATGTGAAGAAGTCTTCACTTCTATCAAAAGTGAGTGAGTGTGTGTGTGTGTGTGTGTGTGTGTGTGTATGTGTGTGTGTAAAAGTCTGACTCCATCTACTACAGATATGATACCCATTTCTAGGATGGAATGCAACATCTGGATAGGTACTGCTCTGAAAAATTGCCGGAGATGAAAAATACTGGAAATGAACTAGATTTCATTTTAAGTGAAAATTTAAGGAGTCAATTAGGACCAGTATGTATATAATTTTTCAATTACTTAAGGCAGGGGCTTACTGGGGTTGATATTACTCCTGGTTCTTTTCACAGGCCTAGAATGACATTTGAAGAATTGTTGGATCAAACAGATCATTTTCATCCAAAACACACAGAAGCAGTATAATCATTGAGTTAGAATCAGGCTCTGTGACCCTGTGAGTTCCCCTTCTCCCCACCCTCAATTCTCTTGTGCCTCTTCCCTTCCCCTTTTGGACTATTATATACATTTTACTAGTTTTTCTTCCATTTTTACAAAATAACAGTATTATGCGTTATTTATCTTTGTGAAATCGTAAGCTCACTCAGCATAATGCTCTCTAGCCTATGCCATGTTATATAATATTTTGTTAAATTGCTGTTCCTGATTGTTGTGTAATATTCCATTGTGTGAATGTTTCACAATTTCTCAATCCATTCATTTGTTGATAGACATTTGGGCTGTTGATATATTCTTGCTATTGTGAATAATAATTCCATGAACGTTGATGTATAAATCTATTTGTGTCTCAGGTCTGTTATCCTTGAGGTATATGCCTAGTCATGGAATAGCTGAGTCATATGCAATGTATGTTTAGCTTTTTGAGAAAATGTTAAACTGCCTTCCAGAGTGATTGTACCAACCCTACCAACAGTGAACGAAAGTTCCAATCTCTTCACAAGGTCTCTGACATTTATTGCTTGCCGTCCTGTTAAACTTTGACAGTGTGAATGGGGTAAGATTGTATCACATTGTGCTTTTGACTTGAGAGTTTGGTGGTCTGAGAGAGAGGGTGAAGAAATTAGGACAGACCTGTTGAGGACCTGAAAAGATGGAGTAATAGTGGGCATAGATCAGTGGTGATCAATTTTATATAATACAGTGTATGGGAATAATCATATGAAACACAATGTGAATGGAGGAATGTATGAAACACAAGGTACATAAATAAAACATAGCATATGCAAATTCTGTATGCAAAACAATAAAATTTTTTTAAAAAGTGAATCAGAGTTGAGAAAGTAAGTCAGACTTTAAAACATTAGGGCAAATGCCAACCATAAGGTATTCTCAACAGAGCAAGCAGAAGTCAATCCAAAAGAGAAAGATTTCAGAAAGTTGTACTCAGAGCATATCAAGACAAAGAGTTAACCATGCCAGTCATAAAAGAAATAAAATGAGACACAAAGACTGCTACAACTGCTGGTAGCTGGTAGTTTCAACACAAAAGCAATCAATCAGTAACTAAGTCTTAAAAATGGTAGCATTCACTTGAATGGACTAATTAGATAAGTCACAGATATCTGCTGGTATTAGGTGCCATCAAGTTCACTGCAGCTCATAGTTACTCTGTATAAAATAGAAACCTTGTTTTATCCTGAACTATCCTCATAACCCCAACCTATGTTGAAGCCTCTGTAGCAGACACTGTATCAATTCATCTTCTTGAGGGTCTTTCTTTCTTTCAGGGAAAGAGATCTTTTGCTTTTCCAAGTATGACTTCTTTTCCAAAGACTGACAACATCCTTAAATTATGTGAGAAGAAAGTCCACCATCCTTTCCTATAGAAGCACCATGGCTGAATTTCTTCCAAGACATAGCTATTCTTTGGAGAAGTCTATTCAATACTCTTCACTAACACCTCAATTAAAATACATCAATTCTTTGGTCTTCCATAAATATTGTAAAACACTCAAATGCAAGTCAAACAATGGAAAATAGCACTACCTGAGTCAAGTACACCTTCCCTTAGCTGATATCATCTCTGTTAGCACTAAGGAATATGTGATTAGGCATTATATTAAGGACAACAGCCCAGAATAACAGGTATATCATTGAAAAAAATGAATGTTTTATAAAAAATCAAAAAATAAACTGTGGGAGGAGGAAAGTGGAGTAAAAATTAATGAATGAAAAATAGAATAGAGCAGGGTTTAGGGCTGTTGTACATAGGGCCACTATGACCAGCAAGCAACTCAACAGCACATAACAACTACAATAATATAAATATGAGATACTACCAAATGACTAAGGTTTTGTGTGGTTAATTCTTTTTTCCATTTAAATAGACCTTTAATGATGGGGTCTGGTTTAGGACTCGTCTGCTTAGGCCACAGAGACAGAAGCAGAGATATCAATAGGTGGTCTGTGACTGCTGCTGGCGGTAGCCTCCACGGCGCATGTAGCCTTCGTTTTTGCGGTAGCCATCCTTCTGATCATGGAAATAGCCACCATAGGTACCCTGCTTGTGGTCAAACACTCGCTCGTTGTTCTCCACCAGACTGACCAGCTTCTCGGCCAGCTGCAGCGCCAGGTTCTGCTGTGCAGTGGGCTCAGTGCGGTGCATCACTACCGTCTGTGTTGGTTGGTCCAGGGAGGCCATCAGCTCCTCGTTAATGATCATCTTGCTGATGATGGAGTGCACTGTGGGCAGGTCCAGCTCAAACATGTCAGACAGCGTCTCCATGCTGATGGAGTCGTAGACACTGCTGTAGGTGAAGAGGTAGGTACGAAGTGACTCCTCCTGGATCTTCCTAACCAACATGGTGCGGACTTTGTCAGCCTCGGGGAAGAGGTCCCACACTTTGCCGTTCATCTTCTCATTGATGATAAAGCTGTGGCAGGTCTTCCAGTCTCCCATCTTCATGGCCTTGGAGGCGGCAACCACGTGCTCCCTCATTGACTCGGGGGGATCCAGCAAGGGCTGTCGCTCGCCCACCCGCAGCTGGTGGTGGAACTGCTTGCTGATCATGCGCCGGCGGGCATCAGTCTCGTGGGCGGCCATGTAGGGGATCTCCAGGAGCATGGCCGACACCAGATAGACACACTCCAGCAGTTCCAGGTTGATGTGTAAGTAGAAGGGCACCTGCTGGCACCGCTCCACCTTCTCCTGTTCCTGGTTGCGTTCCTGAAGGCTCCGGAGCAGTAGACCTTGGCCCAGCAGCTCCTTGGCCCGGCCACTTGACTGGATGTCCAGCAGGGCACTATGAGCATCCTTAGTCAGGCCTTGGCGGAAGGCACAGATGCCCAGCTGCACCATGGTGCGGTTGTACAGGAGTGTGGTTAATTTTTACCTAATCTCACATAATCAAACTGTTGTTGCTGATATGTAACATCGAGTCACTTGCGACTCATAGCAACCCTATGTACAACAGCCCTAAACTCTGCTCTGTCCTGTGCCAATCGCACTGTCTCTGACAGTCACATCCAGATTGCCCTAGTCACTGAATCAATACACCTCATAGAATGCCTTCCCTTCCTGCGCTGTCCCTCCACCTTACCAAGCATGATGTCCTCCAAGGACCAGTCTCTCCTTAAAACATGTCCAAAGTGTGCTAGATGGAGCCTCAGAATCCTTGCCTCTAAGGAGCCACCCAGTTTAACCCTTTCCAGGATGAATCTGTTTGTTTTCCTAGCAGTCAATGGCACGCTCAATACTCTTCTCCAGCACCACAGCTCAAAGAAGTCAATTCTCCTTCCATCCTCCTTGGTCATTGTCCAGCTCTCTGATGCATAACAAGTGATTGCAAAGACCATGGCCTGTAATTGGATGCACCTTAGTCTCCAGAGAGAAACTATTACTCTTCAGTACTTTGGAGAGGTCCCTAACAGCAGACGTTCCCATGGCAATGAGCCTTTTAATATCCTGGGTACTGGTGCCAAGAGTGTTGACTGTGGAACCAAGCAAACTAAAGCTGTGTACAATCTCAATCTCTTCACCATCCATCCTGATGCTGCCAATTGGTCCAGTGGTGAGAATCTTTGTCTTCTTGACATTGAGCCTCAATCCATATTGGAGGCTGCAGTCCTTGACCCTCTGCAGCAAGCGCTTCAGGTCCTCCCCAGTTTCAGCAAGCAGGGTTGTGTCATCAGCATAACACAGATTGATCTTCCACCAGTCTTGACCCCACATTTCTCCTTATAGAGCCCAGCCTCCCAGAAAATCTGTTCTGCATACAGGTTGAAAAGGTATGGAGATAGGACACATCCCTGGTGTACGCCCTTCCCAGTTTTGAGTTATGCAGTGTTCCCTTGCTCTGTTCTGATGACTGCCTCCTGGTACAAGTATAGGTTTTGCATTAGAATGATCAAGTGTTCTGGGATTCACATTCTTCTCAGAGTCAGCCAGTTTTTTATGATACACACAGTCAAATGCCTTTGCATAGTCAATGAAACACAGATATACATTCTTCTGGTATTCCCTGCTTTTAACTAAGATCCATCTAACAGCAGCTACAATATCCCTAGTACCACGACCCCTTCTAAACGCAGCTTGGACTTCTGGCAGTTCTATGCTGATGCACTGTTCCAGTCGTTTTTGGATAATCTTCAGTATAATCTTGCTTGCTTGTGAAATCAATGGTATTGTTCTATAGTTACCACACTCTGTTCGTGTTCTTAAGTTTTGGAAAGAAAGAATCTGAAAAATGCTCCTTAAAATTGCTGAACTGAGTTCTTTTTGATGGTGGAAACTATTTTTTTTTTCATTTTTAAGGTGATGGAAACTCAAAGATTAAATTACTGATTTATCTCATTTAGCCTTTGGAGCTGAATTACATGAGGCCTTTTTATCTTTAGAGGATTTACTTAACTGCTAATGAGAATGTGTCAAATATATAATGACCTATAACAAAACTATTTGCTCTGTCTTCATATCTAGTTCCTCAAACAAATGTTTATTGGAAAAAGAGGTATCAAAAGAACTATGAGAAAAAAGATCTAAATATGTGATATTTAGAAAATTCTCACACAAAATTGCATAAAAAACAGAAATGTCCAACATTTAGAACTCTTAACAAAATATCAAGCTTCTGCCTACCAATTAAATAGCATTTCTGTTCATAACTTTTTTATGTTGAAGACTCTCCTTCCGTTGAGCTTAACTAAATGGAATTATATCCTGAGGAGCAAGTGCAGCTGAAGTACTAATTTCATAAGTTGTCTGAAACTAACTGTCGGGAATTCTGGCTGTAGACCAATTCAAGGTAAATTTATAATGGGAAATAAAGTTACAAATGAAGGTACTTGGATAAGAGACTAAATGTTTGGGCTAAAACTTCTTTATATGAAAATATGATAATGCATGATTGTTTTGAAAGTTTAAGTGCTCATAATATTCTTAATCAATTATAAATTCAAACTAGACTTAAAATTTCTTTAGGAAATATTGTAAATGAGGTTTATTTTTCCATATCAGAGGCAGAAGTGAGGAAAAAAAAATGAACCACTAACCCATCCAACTAAACACTATCCTTCATTAACATTATCTACTTGACCAAATTTATTATTATACCAACTTAGGAAGCTCCTAAAAGATTTGGTTCTAATATCTCCTTTTGAAGCATACTAATATCATAAATATTTAAAATTCCACCATTATATAAAATTAATTGTGAGTTGAAGCTCTTTATGTCTTAAGTGATAATTTAGAAACTGTGAAGAAAAATACAAACAGATCAAGGATAATGATCAAATAAACTTTTATTACTTATAAAGGCAAGACTTAACATTTATAGAAAAATATGATGCATATTTTCAGCAGTCAATGCAGAAGTTAACACTTAAAAATAAGAGAGAGAAAGAAAAAGCCAACTATTGTAATAACCATGTTAGAAATGTGGTGGTAGTTGTTAGGTGCCCTTGTATCTAGTACAAGTCACAGAAATTCTGTGAACAACGGATCTGAATTCTGCCCTCTCCTTCACCATCTCATCATCTCTAATGCATTTAGCTCCTTTGCTGAAGTCACTTTGTCAATATATCGGGTTGGAGTGTCTTTCTCTCTCTGCATGGACCCTTTACCATTCCAAGTATGATACCACTTTCCAAGGAATAACTTCTCATAGCATCATGTCCAAAATACGTGAGATAAATTTCATCATCCTTTCCTCTAGGAAGCACTTTGGCTACATTTTTTTCAAGACACATCTATTTGGATTTTTGGCAGTACATGGAATAGTCAATACTCTTTTCCAATATCACATCTCAAAGGCATCAATTCTTCTGTCATCTTTATTCCTTTTCCAGCACTCAGATGCATAGTATGTGACTGAAAAGACCATGTCCTTAATCAGGATGCCTTAGTCATCAAACTTACATCATTGCTACTCAGTAATTTAGAGATCCCTGACAGCAGACTTTCCTAATCCAGTTCATCTCCTAATCTGCTGACTTCTGGTATCACAATGTTGAATGTGTATTCAAGCAAGATTAAATCATTGACAACTTCAATCTTCTATTTATCATGATGTTACCTATCAGTACATTGGTAAGGATTTTTGTCTTCTTGACGTGATCCATGTAGAAGACAGTGCACTTTGATTCTACAGTGTTTTAAGTCCTCCTCACTTAAGGTAAGGAAAGTTGTATCATCTGCATGTTGCAGATTGTCTACGAGTCTTCTTTTCGTCCTAATGTCATATTCTTCTTCATAGAATCGAACTTCTTGAATGACTCGCTTAGCTAACAGATGGGTTAGGTATAGAGAAAGGATATAATCCTGACATATATTTCCTGTTTAAAATCATGCAGTGTTCCCCTGTTCTTCTTAGACAACAGCTTTTTGGTGTAAGCATAGGTTTTGCATGAGCACAATTAAATGTTTAGAGATTCTTTTCAGTGTTAGCCAGTTTGTTAAGATTGTCTTTATTTGTTGTTATTTGCCTTCAAATTGAGTATGACTCATAATGACCCTATGAACATAAGGCCTGGAACCTTTCTATAACTATCGATATTGGTCAAAGTTCATAGAGTTTCCGGAAGAATGTTGCTTAGGAAGTGGATGTCACTCAAATGTCTTTGCATAGTCATAAAGCCACAAGTAATTAAAACAAAAATATTTTGTTATTCTTTGCATTTATCTAACATCATCAAAGATATTCCTGGCCCATGGTCTCTTCTAAACCCATCTGGAACTTCAGGAAGCTCCCTGTCATTATGTTGGTTTAGCCATTTTTGGATGATCTTCCACATTATTTTGCTTACATTTGATACTAATTGCATTGTTCAAAAATTTACAAGCAGTTGTCCTCCAAATTTTCTGGCATGGACTGAGGAACACTTCCAGGCTATATCTGTTAGTTGAAACCTGTGAATTGGTATCCCATAGATTCCGGAGTCTTATTTTTTTTGCCAATACCTTCAGTCCAGCTTCAACTCCTTCCTTCATTACCATTATCTCTTGTCCATATGGAACTTGTTAAAAATTTTCAGTATCAGTCAATTCTTTTTTCACAGTGACTCTATGCATCCCTTCCATCCTATTTTGATGCTCCTGGTTCCTTAAAAATTTTGACCATGTCATCTCTCAGTATTGCAACTTGAGGCTTGAATTTGTTTTTCAAGCAAATTCTTCTATTTTTATACACTAACTCCAGCTCTTTTAGCATTCTAACACTTTGCTTTGTCTTCTCGAGCTGTCCTTTGAAATGTTCTGTTCATTTCTATTATCTTGGCATTCCTCAACCCCCTTTGTTTTGACTTCTTGATGTTCTGGCACAACTTTCAGAGTCCCTTCAGCCATCCATTTTGGTCTTCTTTCTAAGTTTTTCTAATAATATTTTGCTCTCTTTATGGATAATATTTTTATGTCTCTTCATAACTTGTTTGGTCTTCAATCATTAGTGTATTAGTGTTCAATACCTCAAATTTATTCTGGAAACAATTTAAATATAGGTGGGATAGACTCAAAGCCATATTTTGTTTTTATTAGTCTTGTTTTCACTACCCTCAGCTTCAATTTTAACTTGAACATGAGTTATCTATGCTCTGTTGAACAGTCAGCACCTGGTCTTATTTTGCCTAAGCTTCTCCAAGGATTCTTTCCACAGATATGTTGTTGTTATGTGCCATTAAGTCGCATGTGACTCAATGCAACCCTATGTACAATAGTCCTAAACCCTGCTCTATCCTGTGTCAATTGCACTGCCTCTGACACACCTATACTGATTACCCCAGTCACCGAATTTATCCACCTCGTAGAGGATCTTCCCTTCTTGCGCCGTCCCTGCACCCTCCAAAGCATAATGTCCCTCTCTAAGGACCTGTCCCTCCTTGAAACAT